GGAGTAGAGCAGAGGAAGATTGGGTTAGTGGATTGCTTACTCTTTTTTTGTTACTGTAACAAAATACCTGACAGAAACAAAGGAGGATTTTTTTTTTCTTCGAGACTGTTTCTCTGTGTACTTTTGGCTATATGTATGTCTATATGAGGGCATCGGATCCTCTAGAACAGGAGTTACGACAGTTGTGAGCTGCCATGTGGGTGCTGGGAATTGAACCCCAGTCCTCTGGAAGAACAACTAGTGCTCTTAACCACTGAACCATCTCTTCAGCTCCCTCAAAATTTTATTTTTATTTTATTTTGAAGATTAATTTTTTATTTTATTTTATGTGTACAAGTGTTTTGTCTGCATGCATACCTTTTCACCACCAGCATGCATTGCCTGTGGAGGCCAGCAGAGGGCATGGGAGTGCCTGGAACTGCAGTTACAGACGGTTGAAGCCACCATGTGGATGCTGGGAAATAAACTTAGGGCCTCTGAAAGAGCAGCTGTCCTCTTAACCGTGAAGCCACCTCTCCAGCCCTTTGTTTTTGTGACAGGGTCTCACCTATCTCAGACTGGCCTTGAACTTGGTATGTGACTGAAGATGGTTTTGAACTTCTGATCCTCCTGCTTCCACCTCCCACGTGCTAGGATCATGGGCATGTGGTATATGTGGTGCTGAGACTTGGACTCAGAGCGTCATGCATGCTAGGCAAGCACTCTACCAGCTAAGCCACAGACTCAGCCCATGATTTCAGAGGGTTCAATCCACCGTGTTGGGAAAGGCATCGTGGAGCAGCCGGATTCACATCCTGGCTGAACAGGAAGCAGAGAGCAAGACAGGAAGTAGGCAGAAATAATACCCGCCCCCGCCCCCCAAGACCAGCCCCTAGAAATCTAGAAATCTGCTTTCTTTAGCTGGGGTCCCATTTCTTATTGTTTCTAAAACAAAAATAGAGCCATATCTGGGGGCCAAACCTTCAAGCCACAAGCCTGCAGGGGACATTGCAGATTTAAATCATAGTAGTCAGGGTGGTAAAGGGGCCTTTTCTTTTCCTTTTTTTGTTTTTTGTTTTTTTTGAGACAGGGTTTCTCTGTGTAGCTTTGTGCCTTTCCTGGATCTCCCTCAGTAGACCAGGCTGGCCTCGAACTCACAAAGATCTGCCTGCCTGCCTCTGCCTCCCAAGTGTTGGGTTAAAGGCGTGTGCCACCATCGCCCAGCTTTTCTTTCTTTTTTTTTTTTTTTTTTTTTTTTTTTTTTTTTTTTGGTTAAAGGGGCCTTTTCTACAGGGCCTTGAAGGTCATGGACAGAGATTCTAGCTTCATTTGAATTTAGGGAGAGGCCATTGGAGAAGGCCTGGAGAGGGAGGTCTGGGTTCCAGTGATGCCTAGAGCCCTGGAGACAGGCAGGGGAGAGAGCCTTGGGAAGAGCAGGGAGGAAGGTCTGGCCAATTGACAGGTGGCGGGCCTGGGCTGGCTTCAATCTTTTCAGCTGTCAGGGCTGCAGCTGGCACTGGGGGGGCACATGGTGGGTACTGGCACCTGGTGAGCCGTGGGCAGAGGGCTCTGGGCCCTACTGCAGCTGGATCTGGCCTCCCATCTGGGCAGCATGGGTCACTGAGCGTCTCTGGACCTGAACACCTGCTCCCACAGGTGCCTGAGAAGGAGGGAGTCTCTGTGGAGATGCTAGCAAGCCCTGGAGGCTCTGTTTCATGTTTTGACTTTCTGAGTCTGGGGTCCTGAACCATCTGAGTACAGATGCAGCTAGGCCGCTGGGTACCAGGTGGGACTCTAGGCCGCTCAGACAGGGAGGAAAGGCTGCATGCACAGTGACTGTGCCTCTGGCCCGGTCCCAGAGCCCTGCTCCTGCTGGCCTTCCTGTTGGATCATGGCTTTGCAGAAATCTCAAGATCGGAAGAGAACTGAGCGCTGCAGGTTTCCCCAGCCCTACCTTGTGCAGACCCAGAAGAGCACCTAGGGAGGGACTGTCTGTCGGACAGGGGCAGAGGCACCGAGTCCGTGTCCATTTGTCTGTCTGACAGTCTCTGCTCCTTGCCCTTCTTTTGGGTCCCTCTGCTGGACAGCAGTGTGAACTGAGCCCTTTTAGAAATTGGCACCAGGGGGAGGGGCGACACAAGCCAGTGATCCGGCACCTAACAGCCTGAGGCAGAAAGAAGGCTCTTGAGTTTGAAGCCAGCCTGGACTATACCGTGAGACCTTGTCCCAGACCAAGCCAAACCTGATAGCTTTTACTTTTTGTTTGTTTGTTTGTTTTGTTTTTTCAAGACAGGGTTTCTCTGTGTAGCCCTGGCTGTCCTGGAACTCACTCTGTAGACCAGACTGGCTTCGAACTCACAAAGATCTACCTACCTCTGCCTCCCAAGTGCTAGGATTAAAGACATGTGCCGCCAGTGTCCGACTAACTTTTAGTTTTGTATTTTGAGACAGATCTTGAACTTGCTAGACTACAGAGCCTGGCTTGCAATCCCCCTGCCTCAGCTTCCCTTATGGCTGGGCATACAGGTCTGTGCCACAAGGCCTAGGATTTTTTTTTTTTGACAGAAGTTTATGTAGCCCAGGCTTGCTTCAAAGTCCTTATAGCTGAGGATGACCTTGAACTCCTAATCTTCCTCCTTCTCCCAAGTGTTGGCTCATAGGCATGTGCTACCTTTGGTTTAATTTGGCTTATCTAGTATTGGAGATGTTACCTGGGGCTTCCTGCATGGGAGGCAAATGTTCTCCTAACCCAGCCCTATCCTCAGCCCTCTAGACTTAATTGATACCTTCTCTATTTCTTGTGTGAATTTTGTGAATCAGTTAAAATAAAAATAATTAAACTTTATTACATTTATTTATTTATTGTGGTGTGTGTGTGTATGTGTGTGTGTATGTGTGTGTGTATGTGTGTATGTGTATGTGTGTGTATGTGTGTGTGTATGTGTGTGTGTATGTGTGTGTGTCTGTGTGTGTGTATGTGTGTATATGTGTGTGTATGTGTGTATATGTGTGTGTGTGTATATGTGTGTATATGTGTGTGTATGTGTGTATGTGTGTGTGTATGTGTGTGTATGTGTGTGTATGTGTGTGTATATGTGTGTGTATGTGTGTGTGTATGTGTGTGTGTATGTGTGTGTGTATGTGTGTGTATGTGTGTGTGTATGTGTGTGTGTATGTGTGTGTGTATGTGTGTGTGTATGTATGTGTGTGTATGTGTGTGTATATGTGTGTGTGTATGTGTGTGTATGTGTGTGTATGTATGTGTGTGTGTGTGTGTGTAGGTATGTGTGTGTATGTATGTGTGTGTGTGTGTATGTGTGTGTGTGTATGTGTGTGTGTGTATGTGTGTGTATGTGTGTGTGTGTGTGTGTGCTGGTTAGAGGATAACTTATGAGAGTTGGTTCTTTCCTTCCACCACATGGGGCCCAGGGATCAAACTCAGATTGGGAGGCCTGGCTAAAAGTGTTTCTGCCTGTTGAGGCATTTTGCTGGCCCTGGTTTTTGTTTTCTGAGATAGGGCCTTACTGTACAGCTGTGGCTAGTCTGGAACTTGTTATTTAGACTAACCTAAGCTTGCTTGGAACTTCTTTCGATCCTCTTGCTTCTCCTTCCCACGTGCTGGGAATATGGGCATGAGCTACCAGGCCTGGGGGACAGAGTCTCTATAGACCTGGCTGGCCTGGAACTCACAGAGATCCACCTGCATTTCCTGGGAATAAAGGCATGTGCTACTATGCCCAGCACATTTTTTTATTTTTAGATATAGTATTATTATATAGCCAAGGTTAGCCTCAAATTTACCATCCCTCTCAGTCTCCTGAATGCTGGGGTTACAGGTGTGAGCCCTCATACCAACCTGAGGAGTTAATTTCATTGAAAAGAAACTGATCAAAAAAAGACCTCTGAGCCGGGCGGTGGTGGAACACACCTTTAATCCCAGCACTCAGGAGGCAGAGGCAGGCGGATCTCTGTGAGTTCGAGGCCAGCCTGGGCTACCAAGTGAGTTCCAGGAAAGGCACAAAGCTACACAGAGAAACCCTGTCTTGAAAAACAAACAAAACAAAACAAAACAACCAGAGAAAGCCAGTTCTGATGTCATTGTCGTTCATAGGATAAGATGCAAATGTGTTCAACATCCATCAACAGGAGACTAAATGAAGCCTGATGGTGGCGCACACCTTAAATCCCAGACTGGGGAGGCAGAGACAGGAGGATCTCTGAGTTTGAGGACAGCCTGGTCTACAGAGAGAGTTCCAGGACAGCCAGGACTACACAGAGAAACCCTGTCTCAAAAACAAACAAACAAAAACAGCAGACTGAATGGGAAGAGACAGCGGAGGCCCAGAGCTGTGCAGTTCTTAAAATGTCAAGTCTGGGCTGGGGACTTAAAAGTGTTAAAAAAAAAAAAAAAACAACCAGGGCTTTAGTGGCATGGGCCTGTGACCAAAACCTGGAACACAGTGCAGAGATGAGGCCCTCTCTAAAGATGGCAGAAAGAGAGGGTCAACACAAAAGACTGGCCTCTGACCTCCAGCAACACTTATTTATTTGTTTTTGAAGACATGATCTCTCTGTGTAGCCCTGAATGCCCTGGATCTTTCTATGTAGACCAGGCTGGCCTCAAACTCACAAAACCTGCCTGCCTCTGCTTCCCAAGTTCTGGAATTAAAGGTGTGAGCCATGATACCTGGCTCCCTTAGCCATGATACCTGGCTCCCTTAGCCGTGATACCTGGCTCCCTGAACGGAAAGACAGCAAATCTTGGCTGCCTGGGGCTGCAGCTCAGGCTGTAGTTCAGCGCTACTATGTGCTTAGCGTGTGTGAGGCATGGGTCCCAAACCAGCACCACCAGAGAAACAAACAAGATGGCAAAACACCGTGAAGCAAAACAGAAGGCCCATGGCCATGTGTGTGCCTGGCACACTTATGTCCTCAGAAAGGATACAAAAGTAGACCAGTGGGCTATCTCTAGCTAGGGCAGTGGGAGTGATGGATGATAGACCCTTGAGACCACTGTGTAATTTATTTTTCTATTTATTTTGACAGGGTCCCGCTATGCAGTCCAGACTGTGTTTCAGAATATTTGTTTACACTGTGTGAAGATGTGTCGCTCTGGTTCATTTAATAAGGAGCTGGATGGCCAATAGCGAGGCAGGAGAGAATAGTCAGGACTTTGGGGAGAGAAAGAGGAACTTGAATCTAGGCGCACTAGAGATGCCAGCGAGATGCGGAGGAAGTCAGACGTACAGAGTGAAAGAGAGGTTAAAAAGCCGTGGCCAAACGTAGATTAATAAAAGCAGGCTAATTTAAGTTATAAGAGATAGCTGGGAACAAGCCTAAGCTGAAGGCCAAGCTCTTACAATTAATAATAAGTCTCCATGTCACCATTGAGGGGGCTGGTGGTCCCCAAATAGTTCAACAAGAAAGCTTGCTACAAGATTGGCTACAAATTCCTAGTCCTGCCTCAGCTTTCCAAGTTCTAGTTACAGTCATGTGGCACTGAAGCCCTGGTTTTTAAACACTTTTTATTCTGGCCTCATGGGTCTATTGCTGTGATACAACACCATTACCAAAAGCAAACCGGGGGGGGGGGGGGGGGGGAGGGAATTCCGCTTACAGTTCATAGTTCATCATCCAGGATAGTCAGGGTAGGAATTCAAGGCAGGAACTTGGAAGCAGGAACCGAAGCAGGGGCCATGAGAGACCGTCCGCTTACTGGCTTGCTTGTTCAGACTGCTTTCTTAGAGCACACAGGACCAGCTGTGGCCCTGCCCACATTGGGCTGGGCCCTCCCACATCAATCATCAATCGAGAAAGTGCACCAGAGGCTAACGTAGAGACCAGTCTGTGGGGGGGGCATTTTCTTAATTGAGGTTCCCTCTTCCAAAATGACTCTAGTTGGTGTCAAACGGACATAAAACTGGCCAGCATAATCATGTATATATATATGAAAATGTTTAAAGAAAGATTCAAGCCAAGGGAGAGACCCCTGCCAGCCTCCCAACATGAATTCCACTCTGTATCTAATAGAGCCTTGGGAAACACACGATGTCTGTGCCAACGGACTGGGTGCCCCGCTGCCCATCCTGCCTCACCTGACTCAGCAGTCTGAGGGCAGATGGAGGTGCAGCCAATTTTGTCTAAAAGAAGGAAGTAAGAGCAATTGGACATGGCCTTTGCCTCAGGGCTCAGGAAGGGTGTGACTCAGAAATTGAGCCACACCGGGCCTACGCTCTGCCACAGCGGAGGTGAGCCCCAGTCACCATTTCTGGCTGGCTCTGGAGGACCTTCTTGGCCAGTGTAGTAGTGCCTCTAGAAATCCTCGGACTGAAATTGTCGGAGGAGGCAAGTGGGAACAAGACTCAAGAGGCCGGAAGCCGACAACCCCTGGAGAGCGTTACTAGGAAGGCCCAGGGCACAGCTGGGTCATTCAACAAGTGCGGAGTCCCCTTGTGAAGGGCTCAGCACTTCTTGACCAGATTACCCACTTTCCCAGATGATTCAAGGACAAGCCTCTTCCTTAGTCTTGCATGATTTCCCTCTGCCTGTCAGCCCCAGCTTGCCTGACTCCATGTCCCTTGCTCCTTATCCTCTGGCCTTGCTGTCCTCTTCCAGTTGGTCTATCCCCAACTTCACAGCTGTGGGACCTTAGGCAGGTTTCTTAACCCCTCTGTGCCTGTCTTTTTGTTTGTTTGTTTGTTGTTGTTTTCCTCTGTAAAATGAGAAATATTCCACAGTTTTTATTTCATAGAGGAGTCCAGCACAAATGGGTTAATAGGAGTCAAGTACTTATTAACCATGCCCAGCTCATGTGAAAGCCTGCGTTTGCTGTGATTTCTATTACTTGTATTTACTTTAACTTTTGGTTCCATTAGTGTGTGGGGGCCCCCATGCCGCCATGAGTGTCTGGGGCCAGAGGACAGCTTGTAGGAGTTGGTTCTCCCCGTCTACTGGGTGGGTCTTGGTGACTGAACTCACGTTGTCAGGCTTCAAGGCTTTCTGAGCCATCTCCCTCGTCCTTAGATGAAGAGGCTGGCCTTGGAGTGTGGATCCTCCTGCTTCAGTCTCCTGAGTGCTGGGATTACAGGCCTGTGCCACCGCAGCGCCACTGATGTTATCATTACCTCATATCATATCAACTCTAAGATGTCATCGTGTGTAATAAAAATGCCACTAAAGGAAAAGTTAACCAGGCCCCAGGCTCCTCATCACTAGGCCGTTTCTATATTTCCCAGCAGATCTGCTTCCTGATTAGAGGTAGGTTCATATCATATAAAATTTTGATGTACTCACAAACAGCATGACAGAATCAAGACGATTGGTGAGCTCAGTGGCAGAATTCCCACAGAGAGGCGACTCCTGTGACCGCTTCTGCTGTGAGTCCTGGGGTCTGTTTCCTGGCAGCCTCCCACTCGGGGACATCGAGAATACTCCATAGAGCTGCACTCCTCCAAACAGGTCTCCCCATCTGGGGGGCTTGGGAACCAGGACTGCGTTGCTGGCGTGCTGGGAGTAGCTCAGGCCAGCCAGGTCCCTCCCGAGGGCGCTCCCGCCATTTGCGGGGCCTCAGGGTCCTCTTCTAAGTTGCTCATATCTTCTCTCCAGGAATTGCTGCTGGGGCTTTGGAAGCGTGGGCTGGTGTCTGCAATGGCAGCTATGACAGCTCAGGCAGGACGGAAGCTAGCTGAAGGGCAACAGTCACCTGACTTCAGAAATGCCACTTGTGACAAACAAGACACCTCAGGAGAGACAGAACACGAGTAGTTCCTGATCTATGCATCTAGCTGCCTCACAGCATTCCGCACTGATTCCTTGAATACCCTGCCTTCTCCTCAGGCTGTGAGCTCAGAGACAGCACTCATCTCCTGCCTCCTCGGGAAGGCCTTCCCTGACTGCCCTGTGAAAGCACTTTTAGTAGTAGTACAATGTCATATTTTGTGTGACTATTAACACCATCATTTTTTTTATTTATTTTTGAGACAGGGTCTCTCTAAATAGCCCTCACTGTCCTGGAACTCACCGCGTAGACCAGGCTGGCTTTGAACTGACAGAGATCCACCTGCTTCTGCCTCCCAAGTGCTGGGATTAAAGGCGTGTGCCATCATGCCCGGCATCATCATTATTTTGGGACATAGTTTCTGGCTAAGTTGGCTTAGCTGGTCTAGCATTCACTATAGGTAGTCCAGGATGTCCTTGAACTCCCGATTCCCCTGCCTCTGCCTCCCAAGTGCTGGGATTACAGGCGTGCGCCACCACACCTGGTTTACAAGGTGCTAGGCATTGAACCAGAGCCTGGTGCATGATAGGCAGGCTCTCCACCCACATCCCCCGGTGCTGTGTTGCTTCCCTTTAAGGAGTTTACAGATGGGAAACTGAGGCTGGCAACTGAGGTTTCCGGCCCATGGCCATTTCTCAGTGTAGTATAGACCCAGTATGACTGGGTCAGTGTCCACTCCCTCCTGGGGTTCAGAGGAGCTGGCTGGGACAGATAGCATCTGCAGCAGGCTTCAGGGTTGGAGATGGATTGATTGCCATGAAACTGAAGAGAAGAAGGAGATATGGCATTCAGACTCCATGGCAAAGCCAGAGAGCCTCTTCAGTGACCACAGAGTGCCAGGTTGAGGTCACCCTCTTGCCTAGAGAGGAAGGGACTCCCTATCATTGCCATGGAGTCAGAAGCCCTGTAGGCCTCCCCTCAGCTAACTTACAGAATTGTATCTAGTCTTATCTGAGACCCAGGGAGGAGTGTGTGCCCGTGTGTGTGTGTGTGCCCGTGTGTGTGTGTGTGCCCGTGTGTGTGTGTGTGTGCCCGTGTGTGTGTGTGTGTGTGTGTGTGTGTGTGTGTGTGTGTGTGTGTTCGCGTGCACTGCTGAGGCAGGACACGTAGCCCAGCAGAACCCCGGAAGAAGGAAGCTGTACAGGGTCTGTGGCTGGGCCCCTGGGATCCCCCAGCCGGGGACTTCCTCTTCCTCTCAGAGCAGGTGTGGCTGCCACAGCGTGACAGGGACTACACCCTGACCCCCAACATGGAGGGGGCCAAGGGGCCCAGGCTCAAAGACTTCCTGAGTGGGAGTCTGGCCACCTGGGTGAGGATCAGGTGGGAGGGCTGTGTGGGGAAGTGAGTATCAGGGCGGACTGAGAGCTGGGGGATGGGTGGCTGGGGCTGGTAGAGTTGTGGACGGGAGGAGAGTGAGGTGGAAAGAGCCTAGGATCTGGGACCAGAGGCACTGGTGGGGAGAGGGATCCTAGGGTGTGTTGGGACAGATCGGGGGCTCAGGATGGATTTACTGGTTGTGGGGATGCCACCTGTTCATCTGACTTCTCGGGTTTGTCCCCACAGGCGCTGGGACTGGCTGGGCTGGTGGGGGAGGCAGAAGAATCAGCGGGGACAGAGGAGGAGGATAAGGGGCCTCTTTGTAGAGAGAAGAGATTCCTGCAGCTGAGTGATGGGGCCTTGCTCCTTCGGGTGCTTGGAATCATGTAAGTGACATGGGGAGCGGGGCGGGGGGGGGGGGGAGGCTGGTCTGAGGTCTGAGGAGAGGTCGCTATGAATGGTGGGAGGAGTTTGAGGGTGGAGGGCAAGGCCTGGGGCGTGTCCAATGGTGGGAGGAGCCTAGGGTGGTAGGCAAGGCCTGGGGGTGGGAAATGTCCAATGGTAGGAGGAGCCTGAGGGTGGAGGGCAAGCCTTGGGGGTGGGTGGTCCTCAAACCAGCCTCTCATCCATGTTCCCTGGGTGACCCCAGTGCTCCTAGTTCTCGAGGAGGAGGACTTCGGATGATCAGGGGTCACGATGGTCCTGCAGCCTGTCGGATGTGGAACCTTCATCACCTGTGGGGGCGGCTGAGGGATTTCTACCAGGTAAGGCATCGGGAAGGCCCGACAAGGGGCCCGGCAAGCCCTGGTGAAGGCCGTTTTCTCACTGTTGGCCTGTTGTAGGAAGAACTGCAGCTGCTGATCCTGCCGCCACCCCCAGACCTCCAGACACTGGGGTCTGACCCCCTTTCAGGTGCTGTTTCCCCGGGTGGTGGTGCCCTCTGACCTCTGTCCCTGCCCCATGTCCCTCCTTAACCCCTTGTGGCTTGTACCCAGCAGAAGAGGCAGTGGACGAGCTGGAAGGCATCCTTCGGCTACTGTTGGGGGCCTCAGTGCAGGTGAGGAGGGGAAGGGAGAACAGAATGGAGTTCTGACAGGAGGACAGAGCCACTGGGTGCCAGCTTTGGTTCTCCTGTCTACCACAGTGTGAACATCGGGAGCTCTTCATCCGTCACATCCGGGGCCTCAGTCTTGACGTCCAGAGCGAGTTGGCCACTGTAATCCAAGAGGTACTGATGCAGTCTGGAAGTGATACAGTCTAGGGATCTTGATTGGGTCTGTTGTCTCTGCCAGTTAAGGAACTAAAGGCAGGAAAATATCTGAAGTGCACCAGGTGGCAGCAGAGAAATCTCACGCAATTCAGAAAGGCGTTTATTGAGGGTGAGCAAACACGTGCAGCAGACACACTGTGAAGAATCTTGCTCCCCTACTTTAGGGTTGGTCATCTGAAGACCGATGGGATAGTTGATTGGTCTGAAACTGTTGTGACATGTCTTTTTTTTTTTTTTAATTTATTGATTGTGTATACAGTGTTCTGCCAGCATGTATGTCTGCATGTCCCATCTGTGAGCCCCAGTGTGGTTGCTGGGAATTGAACTCAGGACCCCTGGAAGAGCTGCCGGTGCTCTTAACCTCTGAGCCATCTCTCCAGCCCCTGTGTGACATGTCTTGATCAGGCCCTGAACTTGTTGAGTCAGTCCATCAGCAGGGGCCTGTTGGTGGGAGGCAAAAGCTTCCAGGCTTTTGTCTCAAGTCAGGAGGCTGTAGAAGATGACTAGCTTGGAAATTTGCCACTGCCTTTATTACCTAGTCACCGCCCCTCTCAGTCTGCCTGCCTGCCGGGGAGTCTGACTCCTGGTCTCTCAGTACTGTGCTGGGTGGCATGTGGGACTATCACCATCACTGAAGCCACCCTCACCTCTCATCACCCTCCTTCTGATGGATTGTTCTCCGTGCCCTCAGGTGACCCAGCCTGGTGCTGGTGTGGTACTGGCTCTGGCTGGACCAGAGTCGGGAGAGCTGGAGGCTGTGGAGCTGGAGATGCAGTTACGCAACCTGATGGGGACGGTGTCCAGGCTGGTGCGAGAACGTGATCTGGGGGCCCAGGTAGGGGACAGGCAACAGTCACATGGAGCTGAGTAGGGAGCTGGGGTTCGGGGGCAGTGCTGGGAGCTGTCGGTTGTCCAAACCTCGAGTGATTCTGTGGGGATCGGAAGCCTTATGTGCAGAGGTTTCGGAGGGTGCCTCTTGACCTTTGCCTTCCCGCCAGCGGCTGGCTGAAGCGCTCCTGGAGCGGGAACCAGCCCACGTGCGGTTGCCAGAGGTTCCTGCTAATGCTTCTGCAGAGGGTCCCTCGCACCATCTGGCTCTGCAGCTGACCAACGCCAAGGCCCAGTTGAGACGACTGCGGCAGGAGGTGTGAGTGTCTGCAGACTGGGGAGGGGCCGATGGAACCTGGGTGGGTCTCCAGCACGGGGGGGGGTGCGGGGGCGTGATAGGGCCCAGGTGTGGGTTTGCGGCTGGCAGACACCCTCCATCACCCCGTCCCTCCAGGGAGGAGAAGGCCGAGCTGCTGCTGGACTCCCAGGCCGAGGTGCAGGGCTTGGAGGCTGAAATTCGAAGGCTCCGCCAGGAGGTGCGCTCCAACATCCCCGTCCACTGTCCGCTCCCCATCGTGGTCCCATTGCTCCCAGCAGCCCCCTCACCCCTCTCTGTACCGTGGCTGGCTGATCCTAGTTCCACACCATCTGGCCCAGACCCAGGCACTGTCCGGACAAGCTAAACGCGCCGAGCTCTACCGCGAGGAGGCAGAGGCACTACGCGAGCGAGCCGGCCGCCTGCCACGCCTGCAGGAGGAGCTGCGGCGCTGTCGCGAGAGGCTGCAGGCCGCTGAGGTCTTCAAGGGCCAGCTGGAGGTGCGGTGGGGGCGGAGCCGTGGGCGGGGCACGTGGGGGGCGTGGTCTGGAGGCGGGGCGTGCGGGAGGAGGTTGGCTAAGAGGAGGGGGTCCAACTTTGTTGGGGAGGGGTGATGCTAGCTGGGGGAAATGGGTGAGAACACAGCAGGTGGAGTCCGGGACAAATCCTTTAGGATGGGACGATGGACGGGAGAAGAGGAGGAGACTGTGGAGAGGCAGATTTTGAAGAGAAGGATGAGGTCATGGGTAGAACTGGGGAGTTCTGCAGTGAGACCCTAACAAGTAGGGGTACGGATAAGTGTGGTCTGGTGGAGGGATGTGGCCTTGGGAGGCGGTTTCCGGAGGGGGGCGGGAGGGTGGGCCAGGAGCTTGGGAGACCCTGGAGAGAGCTGCAGATGGAGGTAGGAGGTAGGAAAAGGAGGTGGGGTCTGAGGCGGTCCCAGGGTCAGGAACTGGGAACTGCCAGGTGCTGGAGCATACGGGTTGCGCGTCATCACGGATCGCCCCTGCTTTCCCACCAGGAGGAGCGGGTGCTTTCTGGGGCCCTGGAGGCCTCGAAGGCGATGCTGGAGGAACAGCTGGAGGTTGCCCGGGAACGCTCAGCCAGGCTGCATGAGACCCAGCGGGAGAACCTGCTGCTGCGCACCAGGCTGGGCGAGGCCCATGCGGTGAGCTGGGTTGACCTGACCATCTGCCCCTTGTGTCTGGTCCCCCATGACCCCAGTGATGCCTGAGGTCTCTCCAAGCGGTTCCCGGAGCTTGTTGGGACTCTCAGATGTGCACATTTGGCCTGGGCCCGATGAAGAAGGCTGTGCTGACCCCACTCCGTCACACCCCAGGAGCTGGACTCCCTGCGGCATCAGTTGGAGCAGCTGGTGGAGGAAAATGTGGAGCTGGAGCTGGAACTTCAGAGGAGCCTGGAGCCACCCCCAGGCTCCCCTGGGGAGGGTGAGTGAGGCCTAGGGTGGGGGTGAGGATCTGGGGTGGAGGCTGACTGGGTGGGGAGGACTTGTTTTCATGCCCTTACTAGGTCTCTGAGAGAAGGGAAGTCAGGGAGGGTGGACAGAGCCCTGACGTGGCCACATCCCCAGCTCCCCTACCCGGAGCAGCGCCCTCCCTGCAGGACGAGGTGAGGGAAGCGGAGGCTGGGCGGCTAAGGGCAGTGGAACGGGAGAATCAGGAGCTTCGAGGCCTGCTGCAGATGATGCAGGAGCAGCTTGACAGCCAGGTAGGTCCCTCCAGCATCCTTATCCTTACCGGTTCCCACCCCAACCCCATCCTAATGCCTCCCTCCCACACTGTCCTTCTCATATGTCCTCAGCGCCCTCTGCTGGAGGAGCAGAGCAAGGATGCCATGCTGCCCGGGCCCAATGGGGCTCCCCCAACTCCTGGGGCCCCAGATCACAGCCTCAAAAGCTGGTCTTGCCAGAGGGGAGGTGAAGGCCCTGAATCCTTGGACCTGGCTTCCTCAGCATCAGACTCTGACATCACAAGGTCATCTGAGTGTCCCCAGGCACCTGACTCACATCCAGAGAAGATGGAGAGTTCTTTCAAGATGGTTTCTCAGGATACCCAGACCTCAGTCCTAACTCCCCAAGAATCAGACCCTACTGTGGAAACACATGGATCTCTGGAGAAGTCCAACCATAGAGTCTCTCTCCAGAGCCCCGTTGTCTGGACCCTACCACAGGGTCCGGAGATCAGAATTGAGGTACAGGAGTTGCTAGAAGAGACTGGAAGCAGGGAGGCTCTCCAAGGGGAATTGGTGCCCGAGACCCAGGTCCTAAAATGGGAGAGCCCTGAGTGCAGGCCCAGGTCTTCAGAGTTCAAACTCCAGGAGCCGCTGAAGGATCAGGAGACTCTCGATCAGGGCCTAGAACTGTCCAAGCAGCAGACAGAGGCAGGAGGGCATGAACAGAGGCCTGAGGGGTTGATCAGTAAACTGGTCCCTCAGAAACCACAGCAGACATCAGAAGGGGCTCCTAATGCCTGGTCCAGGGAGAAGCCAGTCGTGGGGGAGACCCTGGCCAGTGCTGTCCCTGAGGAGCAGGCCCTCAGAGAGGAGGTGGTACAGCTAAGGAGAGAGGTTGTGGGCCTTGAGGCCCAACTGCAAGCCCAGGCCCAAAGACTGGAGGCCCGAAGTGCAGAGGCTAGCTGCCTCTCTGACGAGCTGGCCCAAGCACGCAGAGCAGAGGCTGAGGCCCATCAGGAGGCCGAGACCCAGGCCCGGGAGCAGGCCCGACTGCGTGAGGCGGTGGAAACAGCTAGCCTGGAGCTGGAGGCTGCATCCCGAGAGCGGGAGGCGCTGGCAGAGGCGCTGGCGGCGGCAGGCCGAGAACGAAGGCAGTGGGAACGAGAGGGGCCCAGGCTGCGGGCTCAAGCCGAGGCTGCCGAGCAGCAGGTGCAGACTCTGGAGAGCCAGGTCCGTCGTCATCTGGAGGAGGCTGAGAGGGAGCGCCTGGAGAAACAAGCCCTGAGGGAGGTATGTGGGGTGTGGCCAGTGGGTCAGGTTGCTGGGATGTACGGTGTGGGTTCCTTCACTGCACTGAGATGGGACAGAAGGTAGACAGTCCAGGCCACTCCTGCGGTTGCAGGATACAGCTGATGGCCGGTCCTCGATAGGGTAGACTACAGGAGGGACTCACACAGCCAATCGGTGGTCTATCCTGCACTCTGTTGTCAAAGTCTCTACCCCTTCACCCTGGTTCCCTCTTCCTGTGTAAAACAGAGATGCTGTGCCTTGCAGCCCTCATGGTCTGTGGGCAGACCAGGATCATTGTGGAAAGCAGCTGGCTCATACCTGGCCAAGGCCTGCTGTAAGTGCCCAAACAGTGGTTCCTTAGGAGCTGGGATGGAGTCCATTTTGTTGAGAGCTTGCCTGGCATTCACGAAGCCCCAGGTCCATACCCAGCTCCACATAAACTGGACACGGTGGCATAATGCTGTCATCTCGGCACTCAGCATACGGAGGCAGGAGGATTAGAAGTTGTTCAAGGCCATTGTTCAATGGCTGTGTCAAACGCCATGACCAAAGGAAAAAAAAAGCAAGTTGCGTAGGAAAGGTTTTATTTCACCTTCCAGGTTACAGTCCATCATGAAGGAAGTCAGGGCAGGCACCCAAAGCAGGAACCTGGAGGCAGGAACACAATGAAGAGTCCTGGAAGGGCTCTGCTTACTGGCTTCTCTTTATATAACGCAGGACAGCCTCTCCAGGGTCAGTGCCACTCATGGTGGGCTGGGTTCTCCCACATTAGTCATTAACCAAGAAAATGCCCCCAGACTTGCCTATGGACAACTTGACAGAGCCATTTCCTCAGCGGAGGCTCCCTGATCCCAGATGAATGGCTTGTGTCAAGTTGACAGCACAGGCATCCTTGACTATATAATGAATTGGCGGCTAGCCTGGGCTACACGAGACTTTGTCTAGAGAGAAAACAAAAACGAAAACATCTACTGAAGAAGTGCCAGCAGAGCACCCAGGAGGGGGTGGAAATGCCAGTCTGGGTGGGAGAGGCCTCCAGGAAAAATCACCAACATTTCCTTGGATGCTTTGGTGAGGACAAGGACTCTAAGGCACTGGAGATGCTGGGGGACCCAGAAAAAGTCACAGCAGCGGCCAGCTTTGAAGGGGTTGCTACTCTGTCTTGCATGGAAAGCCTCAGGGTGTGGGCAGACCCACGTGGGGTTGAGTTTGAGGATGGGAGCTGAGGCCCCTCAAGAGGCAGTGGCAGTGGTAACCAGTAAGGCTGACAGGGGCAGTGCTGGAGGGGAGGTGATGGCTAGAAATGCTTTCGTTCATTTATTCATTCACACACTTCGTGAGGCCAGCCAAGGCTCTGTACCAGGCTGTGTGCACAGCGATGACCAGGTAGGGGAGCTGTCCACATGCACAGGTGTGGAGGAGACAGGACAGTGCAGGGGCCATGAGTCCAGGCTGGATACATCAGGGAAGGCTTCCAGGAGGAGGTGGGGAGGAGCAGAACCAGGCGTGAGCTGAAGAAGTCAGGAGAGGTGAGGCTGAGGAGGAAATAAGCAGGGTTCTTTTTTGTTTGTTTGTTTGTTTGGTTTTTCGAGACAGAGTTTCTCTGTGTTGTTTTGGTGCCTGTCTTGGATCTCGCACTGTAGACCAGGCTGGCCTCGAACTCACAGAGATCTGCCTGGCTCTGCCTCCCGAGTGCTGGGATCAAAGGTGTGCGCCACCACTACCCAGCTAAGCAGGGTTCTTGTTGGGCACAGTGAGAGCTTCCTTCTGTGCTGAGGGAGAGGCTGGGGCTTTCTGGGGCTTTTGTGCGTAAATGGTGCCTCTGGAGGCTGGAGACAAACCCAAGGGTCAGTCCACACTGGGAGGCGGAGCCTGGGGCGGCGTGAAGGAGGGGCAAGGGTGTTAGAGCTGTGGGCTGGCAACTGGGTGCTCCAGTGTGAGCAGTTTCCTGTCCCATGCCAGGGCACAGAGGAGACACAGGCTCACACAGGAAGAGCACCTGTGTGGCCCCTCCCAGTGGTGAGGATAGGGAACATGACTGGGGGGCTGGTGGACCCAGGTTGGACACTGCGCAGGGTAGGTATGGGGAAGATAGGTAGGCAATGTGAGAACGGATGTGCGTGAGCCAGTGAAGAGAGAGGGTCTCTCTGGGGTACATACTGTAGGACGGGACCCAGAGATCTGCCAGTGAAGGACTGCAGGATGTCTCAGACCCTCCCTGATTGTCAGCTGTGTGGCTCGGAGCGAGTTACTTCTGAGTGTCCCATCCCTCATCTGTAAAGTGGAAACAAAACTGCCTGTCCCTCCTGTGGTGGCGCATGTCTGAAGTCCTGCCCTTGGGAGGCTGAGGCAGGAGGATTCCGAGTTAGAGGCCAGCCTGAGCTATAGAGCAAAGCCTCTAAAGCTAAAGAGGGACCCGATGTGGGAGTGCACTTTAATCCCAGTACTTGGGGGCGGGGGCGGGGGGGGGGGGTAGGCAGATAGATGTGAGTCTGAGGTTAGCCTGGTTCATAGTGACGGGAATACGTAAGGAGACCCTGTCTCAGAAATCAATAAATACATAACCAAAGAGGGAGAATAAAAAAGATCCAGGGGTGAGGGGCAGAGACAGACAGAGAGAGAGAGAGAGAGAGAGATGAGAGGAAAACCGAAAACTGTTCCTGTCTGATAGGAGCTGGCAAAGCAGTGTGTGGCCAGGGCTCAGGGTGTGCCCGGCTCCAGTACGAGGAGAGGGACTGGTGGTAGCTGGCAGAGACGGTAAGGGCGGGCCTGGAAGAGCTGGCTCTGAGGACTTAGAGTGTGGGAGAGGCTGGGGTTAGAGAGAATCAGGAGGATTTCCTGACTGCAGCCGTTCTGGGTGCTGCCCGGCGGTGACACGGAAGGAGCCGGCCAGCAGGCAGACGGAAGAGATCCCGAGGCTTTCCTGCGGGCACGGAGGCCTCTCGGGCTGGGCAGAGGAGCACTTGGTATGGCTATAGCCAGAACAGGGGGAGGGCAGGACCCCAGGCCTCCACTTTCATCTGCACTACAGTTCTTTTTCTCTCTAGCGGTGCCAAGGCCCTAGTGGCCAGCTGGGCAGCAAAGCCTTATGGGAATTGTAATTTTTCTCCTCCCTCTCCCTCCCTCCCTCCCCCCATCCAGGGTTTCTCTATTAGCCCTGGCTGTCCTGGAGCTCACTCTGTAGACCAGGCTGGCCTTGAACTCAAGAGATTTGCCTGGATCTGTCTCCTAAGTGTTGGTTAAAGGCGTGTGCCACCACCGCCCAGCTGAATTGTAGATTTTCACCCAGAGGCCATGCCCACATCTGTTGGGAACCAAGGTGCCCAGGGCAGGGTGTGGAGGTTGTTACCTAGGACGATGGCTCAACAGTCTTAGTTTTCAGAGGCAGGATGTGGCCAGTGGCTGGTAGGGTCACCTTTGTGTAGCTTTATCTTTCCAGGGTCCCCAGGAGTTGGAATGGTTTGGTCTCCTTCTCCCTGGAGCTCACTGGCCAGAGCTGACCTTCCACCCCTACCATGGAATGCTGTGGCCCAACTGCCAAATGCCATGGTCTCTGACCCAACCTCTGCAGCCCTGCACTGTGGTTAGGCCCGAGGTCCCGAGTTCCTGTTCTGCCTGCTCTCAGCAGCCACCCCTTTGTGGCGGAGGATGCTCTGCAGGCCCAGCTCCACTGAGCCCCTGCACATGGCTGATGTGGCCGCGCACAGGGTTCCTCACCCTCCTGGGTACATGCGAAACTATGGGCTCAAAGAGGTGAAGCCACTTGCTTAGTGTGCGTCTCTGATTCCTTACTCAGGGGCTGCTTCCCACACCCTACCAGGGTTAGGGCCCCACCCCTTTCATATCCATCCTGCAAGGCCACCACTCCCCACTTTCGGGTCTTTTAGATAAGGTCTCACATTGAGCCTAGACCTCACTATGTAGCCCAGGCTGGCCTTAACGTTGTAGCCATCCTCCTGCCTCAGCTTCTTGAGTGCTGGTATTGCAGATGTGAACCACCGTGCCCACCAGATGGGAACACAGAGACCCGAAGGATTAAAAGACATTTGCCAGGGTAACAGAGCAAGGCAAAGAGCAAGATAACCCCTTCTTAGGCCCGTCTCGAGCTCTCCTCTGTCTCTGGGGGAGAGGCATGTTCCCTGTGCTCATCCCACCTGCTCAGCCTACCCTGCCTGCCCTCAGGAGCTGGAGAAGGCTGTGGTTCGGGGCCAGGAGCTGGGGGCCCGGCTGGAGCACCTGCAGCGAGAGCTGGAACAGGCAGCCTTGGAGCGCCAGGAGTTCCTACGAGAACAGGAGAGCCAGCACCAGAGGTGGGCACAGTGGCCGGGACAGGCAGGGGCAGGGAAGTGAGGGCTGGGTGCTAACGGTTTCTCCTGGTAGGTACCAGGGCCTGGAGCAGCGGCTGGAAGCTGAGCTGCGGGCAGCGTCAACCAGTAAGGAGGAGGCGTTGATGGAGCTCAAGGCCCGGGCCCTGAAGCTGGAGGAGGAGCTGATTCAGGTAAAGCTGTCCCGGGAACCGAGGTGCCAGCCCCTTGCTCCAACCTGGGAGTAGACAACCAGGACTGCCAGGGCTCAGGTCTCACCTCCGGATTGATGGGCTAGCTGCTCATCTCATGCCCTGCTGGGGCTGTGTCCTCCACTCCTTAAATGGATGGAGCCTCTTCTTGGGGTGACCGCTCTGCTTTTTCCTTGGGCTCCAACACGTCCCGAGGCACCTGTTATTTGTGTCCCTGGACCTTGTCTCTGCAGCTGCGACAGCACCCTGTGGGGCTGGCGACAGAGGTGAGGGCTGACCCTCGGACTGCGGAGACCCAGAACTGTCGGCTCATCGAGGTGGAGCGAAATGTGAGTGACGGGACGGGGGTTTCCCGGGGGGACGGGGGGACTGGCCGCCTAGCCACTGATGATGACCCTCTCTGGCAGAATGCCACGCTGGTAGCTGAGAAGGCAGCTCTGCAGGGGCAGCTGCAGCACCTGGAGGGGCAGCTGGGGAGCCTGCAGGGCCGGGCGCAGGAGCTCCTGCTGCAGAGTCAGCGGGCGCAGGAGCACAGCAGCCGCCTGCAGGTGGGTGGCAGCCTGGGGCCGTTGTCCCCTGCCCATTTGTGTCATTTCGTGCCCTTTCCCGTCCTCTAGCCAGCCACCCCACCTGTTTGCAGTCCTCTGACCCCCGCCATCCCCGTCTGTACCTTCTCTCCCTACCCCTGCTTTCAGAATCCACATCTGTATCCATCTCCATTCCCCATCACCTTCCCATCCCAACCTTCTCCTCCGTACTAGCCATTAGTCTTCACTGCCTTTCCTAGTCTCTGCTCATCGGCCCTACCCATGTTCTGCACCCCTTGCATGGCTCAGCTTTTCCACGCCACATTGACGCTTCTCTGCAGCTTTTAACCTCTTCCTGTTCTTCAGCTGTCCCTCTGCTTCCTCCGTAGCTCATTCCTGTCCTCTGCCCTCTGGTCTCAGCCCGCGTCCCTTATTCCTTCTGGGCTGGGTGCCACACTGCCGCGGTCCTGCCTGTTTGCTTCACCCTAGGCTGAAAAGTCTATGATGGAGATGCAGGGCCAGGAGCTGCACAGGAAGCTGGGGGTGCTAGAAGAGGAGGTGCGGGCAGCAAGACAGGCCCAGGAGGAGACCCGCGGGCAGCAGCAGGCTCTGCTCCGAGACCACGAGGCCCTGGCCCAGCTGCAGCGGAGGCAAGAGACAGAGCTGGAGGGACTGCTGGTGCGGCACCGAGATCTCAAGGCCAACATGCGCGCCCTGGAGCTGGCCCACCGTGAGCTGCAGGGCCGGTGAGACCCCCCAAACGGAGACTCCCCAGACGCCCGGCTTCTCTCCCTGGCATGCTCACTCGCCTGCTTCCCTCATTAGGTCCGACCCAGGGGGGGGATTCCATACTCTGCATATCGGCCCTATTGCCGATCGATCTCTTGGGGGGATCTGGGCTCCTCAACTTTGAGGCTGGGAATGGTGACACCTTGACATGGTATTCTGCTTTTGGGGGCTTTTCTGAGGTGTAGTGCTTATGCTTTGGAGGTGTCAGACTCCTAGATCCCCACAATGCAGCGCCTACTTGCCAAGGCTGCAGGCCCCTGCAGCCCTTATGGAACTTATCCATACAGGCATGAGCAGTTGCAGGCCCAGAGGGCCAGTGTGGAGGCACAAGAGGTGGCCTTACTGGCAGAGCGTGAGCGCCTGATGCAGGATGGGCATCGGCAGCGGGACCTGGAGGAGGAGCTGCGGAGGCTTCAGAATGAGCACGACAGGTACCGGCCCTCGTGCAGCCCTGCCCCCGACTCCCCAGATGAGCATCCCATGTATGAAGTGGGTTGGGATGGCTTAGCCACGGCCCCTGTGTGGTCCGCTTCACCTCCTCTCTGTGGGTGTGGCTCTCCGGGCTCTTGGATAGCTCTTGTCTTTGCCTCCAAAGAGCTCAGAAGCTACTGGCTGAGGTGTCTCGGGAGCGAGGGGAGCTCCAGGGTGAACGCGGGGAACTGCGGGGCCGCCTGGTGAGGCTGGAGCTGGAGCGGGCACAGCTGGAGATGCAGAGCCAGCAGCTGCGGGAGTCCAACCAGCAGCTGGACCTGAGCGCCTGCCGGCTGACCACGCAGTGTGAGGTGTGGCCGAGGGTCAGGGCAGCCTAGGGAGGCCAAGGCGGGCAAGCCAGGCTGGGACAGGTATTCGGGACGGGTCTTCATCCTGACCTTGCTGCTGTCCGCAGCTGCTGACCCAGCTTCGCAGCGCTCAGGAGGAGGAGAACAGGCAGCTGCTAGCAGAGGTACAGGCCCTGAGCCGGGAGAATCGAGAGCTGCTGGAGCGGAGTCTGGAGAGTCGTGACCACCTTCACCGAGAGCAGCGAGAGTACCTGTGAGCATGCGCAGGCCAGGGCTAGGCCCCATGGGCCTCCGGGGAGCCTCCCCCACACGCCCCCACCACGTCCTAGGAGAAGATCCCAGGCATAGGGCAGTTTGACCTGCAACGTGGCCGCCCTGGGTTACACCTGCTTCTGCCAGGGCTTTGCCAGATTTCTCTGAACCCATTCTCTCCTCTTCCTACCAGGGACCAGCTTAACGCCCTACGCCGTGAGAAGCAGAAGCTGGTGGAGAAAATCATGGACCAGTACCGCGTGCTGGAACCTGGGCCCCTGCCCCGCACCAAGTGAGGCCCCACCTTCTGGAATGGGATCCTGCTAACTTTTGCCCTGTCCTGCCCTCCGACCCCCAGTTCCCTAAGAGCCAGGCTGGGATGCAGGTCTTAGTGAGGGTTTTCCTGGCCCTTTTCTCCCCCTGACACAACTCTCCTCTGCCTCCCTTCTCCACTTTCCTTATCCCTTCTTATGCCCTCTTGCCCCCAGGAAGGGCAGCTGGCTGGCAGACAAGGTGAAGAGGCTGATTCGGCCCCGGCGGGAGGGGGCCCTCCATGGGGGGCCACGCCTGGGGGCCGATGGGGCTGGCAGCACCGAGAGCCTGGGGGGCCCCCTGGAGACGGAGCTCCCTGAGGGCAGGGAGGCAGATGGGACAGGTGGGTCTGAGGGCCGGGTGGCCAGGATGTCCCTATCCCATGTCTCCCAGCCTTGGCATCTGCCATACTCTCTGGCCTGCACGTGTGCTTCCCAGGCCTCTCCTGCTTCCTGCCCCCAACCTGCCCTTGATGTTGCCTGGCCCCTCCTTTATGCCCATATTGCCACCTCCCCATTTCTACACAACCCACACCACGCCTGTGACCTCATAGCAGCAGGGCACATTAGGGAAAGGTCATTTATCCTTGATGGTACAGAAGGAAACTGAGGACCGGAGGGTGAGGTGCCTCGCCCAAGGCCACACAGCATCTGTGTGAGCCGTTGTGTGAACCAGCATCACACTGGCCAGGTTTACCTGCCAGGTCCCTTCTCTCCCGCTTCACGCACTGGCTCTCTGCTTGTCTCCCTTACTTTGATGATACCCAACCCCTCCACATGTGCCTCTCACAGGGTCCTCGTCACCGGCACCCATGCGCCGTGCCCAGAGTTCGCTTTGCTTGGGAGATGAGACCCTGGCAGGTGGGCAGCGGAGGAGACTCAGCTCCCGGTTCCCTGGGGGGCGAAGTTCTGAGTCATTCAGTCCAGGGGACACCCCAAGGCAGCGGTTCCGTCAGCGCAGGCCAGGCCCCCTGGGGGCACCCAGTGCCCACAGCAAAGGTGAGACACAGAGTCCCCGAATATGAGCCCCCCCTCATCCGATGGACCTTTGGGGAGAAGATTCATTCCTGTTAGTCTCTGTGTCCTGTGTGCCTTGCCCACCACTGCCTGGCACCATGGCCCAGTGACTGCCTTCTGATCCCCAGGATCTGGTGTGGAATGGGATGGCTCCATCAAGACCCTCCCGGAACATGAAACAGACGCCAGTCGAGAGGGTGAGCGGGGGTCTGTGACTTGTCTGGGGTCCCTGAAGTCTCATTCACCAATTCTCTCTTCTGATGAGGAAGGATCCTTTACCAAACACCAGCTCGGGTGCTCCTGGGGATGTGGCAGGGAACATTTTGGTGTGGGGAGGCAGACAGCAAACACTGAACACAGTCGCTGTCTCCAACAGCCTGGACTGACAGCAGTGCAGTGTGAACAGTATGAGTGGTACGTGCCGGTTACCCCAGCACCTGGGAGGCTGATTGGGAAGACTGAAAGTTCAAGCCCAGCCTAGATTCTAGGGCAAGACCCCTGTCTTAAAGGGGAAGAAAGGAAAATGGTGGTGTGAGCTATGTGTGTATCTTTTCCCTGTTAGCAACCCAGCCAGAAAACACGGAGAGACAGGTACAAGGATTTTAGTGACATGACTCATTTAACTCTGTCTGTCTAAATGATGACCATTTTCAATGTGTAGTCAGTGCGGAAAAATTACAAATGAGATTTTCTTTCCTACATTATTTTACTTTTTGAGACTGATTCTTACTGTGCAGCCTGGCTGGCCTGGAACTTACTATGTAGACCATAGTTTGAGGCCAGCCTCAAACTCACAAAGATCGGCCTATCTCTGCCTCATGAGTGCTGGGGTTAAAGGCGTGATCCATCATGTCCAGCTCAAGATTTTTTTTTTTTTTTTTTTTTTGAGACAAGGTCTCATATAGCCTAGGCTAGCCTTGAACTGACTCTCCTGCCTCTACCTTCCCTGTGCTGGGATCATATGTATACCTTGACTATGCCTTACTATTGTGTTTGGTTTTTTGAGATAGAGTCTTGTTATATAGCTCAAGATGGCCCAGAGCTCACCCTGTTGCCCAGGCTGGCCACAAATGTGTGGCAAGTGTCCTGCCTCAACTTTCTTAGTCCTGGGATAACAGTTCTGTGTCACCACACCCCTTATTTCTCATACTAAGTTTTCAAAGCCTATCACATGCCTATTTCACATGCAGGCATATAACCGTTGGAGCTAGCAGAGGCGCTTAGCCCAGCATGATAGGAGGTTATAGTGCTGGGGAAGAAGAGTGTGTGTGTGTGTGTGTGTGTGTGTGTGTACGGGCTGGGATTCCAATGAGGGCACTGGCTGGGGACAGGCTTTGGAGGGGAGCTGAAGTTTAGGGGCAGCTGGGAGGCAGGCTGGTACAGGGGTGGAGGACTAGCAGATGGACAGAAGGTTCAGGGCCCCGTGGGCTGCCTTGACTGCTCCAGATCTTCCTGGGGAGGAAGCCTGAGCCCAGCTTTTCTCTCTAGCCCTCCAGGAGCAGAAACCGGAGAAACATCCCCTTACCCCTTCCCTCAGCCAGTGACACTGTGGGGACAGGAGACTTAGGAGCGAAGCCTTCTCCTCAATATAGGGCCGGTGGGTCTCCCAGGCAACCCAAGAGCCGGGGGACCCAGGGACTCCAAGAAGAGTACTTAAAAGAGGCCTGGACTCCCAGGCCCTCCACAACCCGTACTGGGGCCCTACGAAGGAGCTGGGACAAGTTTGTCAACCGAGGATGTGACTGGTCCCAACGGGTAGCTCCTGGCCAGGGCTCTTGCTCTGGTACACAGCCATCATTGAGGAGGCGATCTCTGGGGGATCCCCCAGTTGAAGGAGCCTGGCAAGAGTGGGTAAGAGAGTCCTCTGCCCGGTCTAGATGGGAAGCCAAGGCCCATTCTCTGGGGACAAGCCTGGGCTGATATCTAAGCCCTGTCCGGGACACGAAGGAGAGAATAAAGCTGTAACCCCATGAATCTGGGCTCTGTGTCTGCTGGCTGCCTCTGGGAGCCTGGAGGTGTTGGGGATTCCTATCGACGGGCTTCTGTAGCTAGGGAGCCATGTCTGGACCACGTAGCAAAAGGAATTATAGTGTGGCCACTTGGACTTGCCAAAACCTGGATGTGCTGGCCAGGTGGGCAGCCACTGGTGGGCAGAGCCTGGGTGGGAAGTGGGACGTGGGATCTGGGAACTGGGGCATGATGACCTTGGTTGGCCCTGACCCTGTTTCTCAGGGCACCTCTTTTCTCTCTCCATATCTTCCAACCTCCTCGTCTTCTTTTCCAGCCTTTGGGGTTGAGCTCTGCCTCAGGGAGCTCACAGTCACTCGAGGGGGTACTATAAGACGTGGCGTCCCATGTCTCTGACCCGAGCCCCTAGGATGATTACTGGGAAAGGAAACTGTCATAGTTAGGTTCAGTTGTCAGCTTGACTCCTGGGAAGAGGAAACTCAGCTGAGGAATTGCCACCATTAGCCTGGTTTGTGGGCGTCTCGGCATTTTCTTGATTGCCAATTGATGTAGGAGGGGCCCAGTCCACTGTGGTAGTGCATTCCCAGGGAGGTGGGCCTGGCCGGTATAAAAAGGCTAGCAGAGAGGATGGAGAGATGGCTTACTGGTTAAGAGTGCTAGCTGCTCTTCTGGAAGACCCAAGTTCAGTTCCCAGCACTCACATTGCGGCTCACAGCTCTAGGGCATGCCTCTGGCTTCCATGGGTACCTACCCATGTGCACACACCCATATGTAGACATGCATACCCCCACATAATTAAAAATAATAAAAGTAAATCCTAAAGAAAAGAAAAGGCAGTTGAGCAAGCCGAAGGAGGCAAACCAACAAGCAGTGTTCTCCAGTCTCTGCTTCAGCTCCCGCCCCCACGTACGTTCCCGCCCCCACGTTCGTTCCCGCCCTGGCTTCCCATACAGGAGGACTGCACTCAGTGAGCCAGGTAAACCTTTTCTTCCCTAAGTTGTTTTCTGTCACAGAAACAGAGAAGCAAACTAATATGGACGTTGGTACCTGGAACGTGGGGTGCAGTGATGGACCTGACCACGTGGCTTGGACTGTTTTTTTGTGGGAAGAAGGCAGAGGATTTTGGAACTTTGGGCTGGAAAAGCCATGGAGTGCTCAGAGCCTAAAGAGCTGTGTGAGCAGTGCAGACTACGAAGGCCTGGCTTGTGGAGTCTGAGAGGGAAGTCTGACAGTCTTTCAGTTTACTAGATTGTCTATGTGATGTGTTTGGAGAGTCGAGGAAACGAAACCCGTGCTTTCCTGGGACCAATAATGTTTGTGAGCCAGGGCTGAAACATTGGCTGGAGTGAATAAGGAACTGGTACCATTGAGGCAGTCTTCTGGGAAGTGTTTCTCAGGGTCACCACACAGAAGCTGTGGCCTAGTAGGGGCCAAGGTTGCATCTCAAGCTGTCAGCAGAACTTGGCAAACAGGGTCTAAGTCTTCCACCTGGTACTGGTATTTTGAAGGCATGAAAGGGTCATGGGGAACAGCTGAGGCTTGGTACTATGTGGCAGGGTCAGAGTCCCCGAAGGGAGGCCAGGAGGCCACTGGCGAAGGTACAGTCTCAGTTGGGATGGGAACCTCAGGATGTTGGAGGTGCCAGGGCTGTGAGACACATGCCAGGCACAGCAGCAGTTGTGGCGGGGAGCTGACTTAAGCCTCCAGGACAAGCTGTGTGTGCTGGGGATGGCCGGCCAGAGGAACAGACCTCCCTAGGTGCTTCGGAGCCAGAAGATCATGAGTGAGTCCCAGATGCTGGGCCTCGAGATACAGCCTTTGATATCTTGACTGGATGCTGGCTTTTGCTTGATCTGATTGTATCTGTGTCCTGGTTCTTCCCTTTTGAATAAAGTATGTAACTATTTTGGATTTTACCGCAGCCCACATTTAAGAGACTGGATATTAAAAAAAAAAAAAGTTAATTAGCTGGGTGGTAGTGGCATAAGTCTTTAATCCTAGCACTTGGGAGGCAGAGCCAGGCAGATCTCTGTGAGTTCGAGGCTAGCCTGGTCTACAGAGTGAGATCCAGGGCAGGCACCAAAACTACACAGAGAAACCCTGTCTCAAAAAACCAAAAAAAATAAAAAATAAATTACAAAATAAAAATAAAAAAGATAATTTTGACCTTCAAGTCATTATAATTGTTTGTTTGGTTTGGTTTTTTTCTTTTTCTTTCTTTCTTTTTTTTTTAATTGGTTTTTCGAAATAGGGTTTGTCTGTGTAGCTTTGCACCTTTCCTGGAACTCACTCTGTAGCCCAGGCTGGCCTGGAACTCGCAGAGATCCGCCTGCCTCTGCCTCCTGAGTGCTGGGATTAAAGGTATGTGCCACTCTGTCCTGCTCTGTAGACCAGGCTGGCCTGGAATTTAGAGATCTGCCTGCCTTTGCCTCTTGAATGTTGGGATTAAAGGTGTGCGCCACCATTCTCCAGCTGGACTGTCTTTTATATTGTGATATTAACATGAGCTCTTGGAAATGAACAAGAGAGGAAAGATTATGCTTTAAGGGAGGTGTGCTTGTGTGTCAAAGTTGACAAGGGGTGGAATGTCATCTCTGACTTGTCAAACTGGACACCTAGGAAGAGGGAACCTCATGGCTGAGGACTTGCTGCCATCAGATGGGCCTGTGGACCTGTCTATGGAGGCGTTTTCTTGGTTGGTAATTGATGTAGCCCCATCCGCTGTGGCTGGTACATCCCTAGGTCGGAGGGCTTGGGTTGTATAATAAAGCCAGCTGATGGAGGGATGGGAAGCAAGCCAGGAAACAGTGATCCTCCACCGGCTCTGCTTCAGCTCCTGTCTCCAGGTTCCAGCCTTGAGTTCTGAGTGTGGACTGTAACCTGTAAACCAAATAACTCTCCCTTCCCCAAGTCGCTTTTGGTCAGAGTGTTTTATCTCAGCAACAGAGAAGCAAACGAATCCCGGGACAATTAGGCTGGGTGGCAGGATGTGAGTCAGGGCACCTGAGGCTGCCCGAGGGAGGGTGGGGCTCCCTGGGAAAGGTGGAGCAGGGTCCTTGAGCAATCAACCCTGCAGCTCCCTCTATAATTTTTTTGAAATTACATTTATTTTATATTATGTCCTGTGTATTGTATGTGGGTGCAGGCATATAGATCTAAGGACAACTTGTGGAAGTCATTTCTCTCCTTCTACCATGTGGGGACCAGGTATCCAACTCTTTAGTCATGAAAAGTGGCTTCCTGGTTTTGAAGCATACTCTCAGACCCCCCCCCCCGGCCCCTCACACACACCCCAGCCTGCGGAGCATTAAGAGCCCAGGACTCCTGTGTCCAGGGGTCTCCGCTGTATTTGCTGAGGTTAAAGCGCGGTCCCAAAGAAGGAGGTGGGCTATGATGTGTGTCAAGTGGCTAGGAGGAGCAGAAGAGGCATGGCTGCCACGTGGGAAGGAAGGCTCTGTGTGCTTGGGTGGGCAGCCCTCCCTGAATCCTGGGACATAAACCTCTGGTGCCCTCCATATCCCACTGGGCAGACACCTACCTGGCTTGGAGGCTTGCATACGCCAGCAGAGGCCAGGTGTCATCCAAAGGCCCTGCGCGGCTCTCACGGGTCCCGGGGTTGGGGAGACCCTACCACCCCCTCCGGCCGCCCACCCGCAGCCCCGCTCCGTCACGTTCCAGCCGCCTGACTCAGGCCGCGGGGCGGGGAGCCGGGAGGCGGTGCCGGCGCCCGCTCGGCCCTGGAGGCGGCACCAGGAAGCACCCGCCCCGGCCGGAGCCGCCATGTAACCGGCGCCGCCCGGAGCCCCAGCCGCGCGGGCCCCAGCGACCCGCCCGCCATGGGAGACGAGGATGAGGACGAGGGCTGCGCCGTGGAGCTGCAGATCACCGAAGGTGGGTGCGGGATCCCGAGGCGGCTGTCCCAGACGGGTGGCAAGAGTCAGCGACCCGTTGGGCTCATTCGCCCCCCTGTGCCCGCAGCCAACCTGACTGGGCATGAGGAGAAGGTGAGCGTGGAGAACTTCGCGCTGCTCAAGGTGCTGGGCACGGGAGGTGAGGAACCGCGTTCACTGGGCCAGTGCCCCTGGCATGGTGCTTTGGGCCTTCTGCCCGCTCGCCCGCCTGGGCCTGGGCCTGGGCCTGGCTGCTGGGGAGGTCCCCCCACCCTTTCCCGGCACAGCTCCCCTTTCCCGCCCCGCCCTACCGTACCAGGGTTCCATGCCCACTTGCAGGGCGTCCAGGTTGACATCACTCCTCTCTGCAAAGTCCTGTGCGTGCATGCCCCCCTGTCGCGATTTCCTAGTCTCTTTGGGGGTTTGACTCTCTCCCAAGAGCTTTGCATAGCTTCTTCCCTTGTCCCCTTGCGAGCCCCACTCTTGTATTTTGCAAACCCCCAAGTCCGAGTTTGCACATCCCTCCGCTGTCTGGGAGCGCGCCTCTGCCTCCGGTGCCAGCGTTTTCATCCTTTCTCAGCTCTCTGATCGTCCCAGGTTTGCACGTGCCCCGCCCCCTCCCCGCCCCGCAGGCCTTCTGGAGTTGCAAGCTCCCCAGGCTAGCTTGCACTGCACTTAGCTTCTTCGGCTTAGCTGAGCACCCTCCAGGGAGGTGCTCACCTTTTCCTTAGCAGGCTCTGTCAGCCTTTTGCACCCCTGCACCCCTCTTCCCACCAGTCTGCACCGCCCTCACACTTACAGCCCACCTTCAATCCGCTTGCTTGCTGCTCCCACAGCCTACGGGAAGGTGTTCCTGGTGCGGAAGGAGGGTGGGCACGATGCGGGCAAGCTCTATGCCATGAAGGTGCTACGCAAGGCGGCGTTGGTGCAGCGCGCCAAGACGCAGGAGCATACCCGCACCGAACGCTCAGTGCTGGAGCTGGTGCGCCAGGCACCCTTCCTGGTTACACTGCACTACGCCTTCCAGACGGATGCCAAGCTGCACCTCATCCTGGGTGAGGGCCTGTCACACCCTGGCTTTGGAGGGGGACGGAAGTTAGGTTAGGCTACCTTATAGGGGA